TTAATCAGGAAACTACAACATTACGGTGTAAAAAATTTGGCGCTTAAACTTATTACTTCATATTTAAGTAACAGAACTCAAAAAGTCGTCATTAATGGTAAATGTTCCTCCGGATCGGTAGTATCAATGGGCGTTCCTCAGGGCTCGATTCTTGGCCCATTCCTGTTCTTAATCTATATTAATGACTTACCTTATCTTGTAGGGGACAATCACGATATAGTATTATTTGCTGACGATACCTCTTTAATTTTCAAACTGAAACGGCAGTCAATTAAATATGACGATGTAAATAATGCTCTATCGAAACTAGTACATTGGTTTAACGCCAACAATTTGCTCTTAAACGGCAATAAGACAAAATGTATTAAATTTACAATACCTAATGTAAAACATTCGAAAACCAATGTGCTCTTAAATGGGGAGGAGTTGAGTCTTGTGGATACCACTGTTTTTCTCGGTATTACTATTGACGCGAAACTTCAATGGGGCCCCCATATATCTAAATTAGCAAGCAGACTTAGTTCTGCAGCATATGCTGTAAGAAAGATTAGAAGTCTCACAGATGTTGAGACAGCTAGGTTAGTGTATTTTAGTTACTTTCATAGCGTAATGTCTTATGGAATTTTGCTATGGGGTAATGCGACTGATATTGAAGTTATATTTGTTTTGCAAAAGAGAGCCGTACGGGCGATTTATAATCTAAATTGTAAAGAGTCCCTTAGAGAAAAATTTAAAGAAATAAACATATTAACTTTGGCATCGCAATATATTTATGAAAATGTAATGTATGTACATAAAAACATAAATAGCTTTAATAAGAATAAGGATGTTCATACCTTAAACACTAGGAACAAACATAAGCTTGTAATGCCACTTACAAGACTCCACAGAATTAGTAATTCATTTATGGGGCAATGTATACGCTTTTACAACAGAATCCCAGAACATGTTCAAAGTTTGTCAATAAACAAGTTTAAAAGTTTTATTAAAGAAAAACTGTACAAAAAGGGTTATTATAATATCAAGGAATACATGAATGAAAATAACCCCTGGGAATAAGGTGATCGCCACCATGCTGGTTCTATGAAAATTCATTTAAAATTGTATAAACAAAATTATTGTTAAGTGAAATTATGTTTAAAAAAAAAGTCCCGCTGGGTTTCTTGCTGGTTCTTCCCAGGACAGAGGTATTTTCCGAACCAGGGGTAAATAAAATAATGACTTTCAATAAGTATTATGTAATAATCCATATTGAATAAAAATCATTCTATTCTATTCTATTCTATTCTATGTTCTAAATTTCGAGCGGAAAAGATTTGATAAGATACTTTGTAAACAAACTACAGAATCTGCGGGAATAAATATTTTACATAAGTTATGTGATTCATAGTACAGAATAGCCTTAAGAATAGCCAAAGATTTATCCGTTTATACGGTTGAAGTGAGAGAACATTTGTAATTTAACAATATTTTGTATGTAGGCATCCAAATAGCAAAGATAATACAATCATAGTCAAATATTTTAGATGCATCCGATCATACTGGCTTTTACTATAAAAGTGTGGGCCAAGGTGAACAGACTCGGTGTATAGGATTACAATAATAAATACATAAATATTAATAAAGCTAATATAATAAAGCTTGTAATTTTAATACGAGCAAATCAAGTACTGTTTTGATTTTATTAAAATTACAAGTTAGGAAGCATTTCATGTTATAAAGCAAAGGCGATCAATGCAATGTTCTTCTTTCTTGTCGATGGGCTGCAGAGGCCTTTGGTTTGTCATTTAAAGGCTATCTTCTAATTATGGTTTTATAAGACCATAATTAATGAAAACAACTGAACACGATTATAACAATTGACTAATTAATCCTATTTAAATCCAACAAAAATCACGTGTTTAGTTCAATAAATATAAATGCACGAAACCACACATTACAGGGCATCATTGACAGATCGTTATCTACGCCGCGCTAACTAATCTATTCATCCATGGCTACCAACATAACTACCCTTCAAACGTTGGAAAATACTTCAATTAGGCTCGCACACCCCTTGCAAGATCAAAACAGCCCAATTACCTCACAGCACGACCCCTTTAATAAACCCTCGTTTGCTCAAATCTGAAATAAAGACGAAGATAAATAATAACAAATTTGCGAAGTGAAAAGTCCCAAAATTAGCATGTCGTTTGAATAAATTGACAGATAATGCGACTTCGAAACCCTGCCATATTTGAATCGTGAACAATACAAGTAATACAGCGCTGGAAAGCATGGAAACGTTTATCATTACTTTATGTGTACTTGTTCCTACACAGCACTTCGGTGGCTGGAGGGTTGTCGCAAATGTTAACAAGTCGCTAAGAGATGCAAATTGACAGCGGTTGGCAGCGGTGATTCGAAATGGCGCCGAAGTCATTTGCATAATTTTATACGAATTGAAATGTACATTTTGAGAATTGACAGGAATGAAAAGCATTTTGAACTTTAGAAGTATTTAATAGATCTACACTTCAAAATCGGTGATATTATTTCCTTATTAATAAATAATTAAATACATTTTTAAATTTACAAAAAAAGAAAACACTATACATTTTTAAAGACCTATTTAGTATAACTGGCAATCTACAAATCTACATGTACTTATACCTAAAACATTTTTTCTTGTACAGGCTTACAATTATTTCTTTTAAAACTAAGTCGTAAAATTTAGGTATTGCACAGTTAATGCTTAAACAATTAGCTAGGTACATATTATCGGTCTTATTCATAAAAATCTCTAAAATTATACCTAATATTATTATTAAGTGACTATTATATAACATTCATTTGTGAAGCGAACGACTTCTTAAGAAGACAATCATAGGTTACTATTTCTTCATTTACTTTATACAAACATTATACAATTTATTTACCCTAAAATTTTACAGGTCAATTCAAATCATCTAAGAAGTGCGTGCGGTTTTAACTTTAAATTTATTTTTTGAGTTAATCTTTAAAATAAATAAATTTTATTTGTATAATATATATGTACGTACGCAACATCCAACGAAATGTTACAGAGAGGGTTTTTTCTGGACGATGCGAACGGCGAAGAATGGGCGGTGTTTTTGATATTAAACGTTTTTGTTTGTGTTTTTGATTTTACGTTGATTTTTTTTCAATAAGAAACAATGTCGGTTTGTTCGATTGAGGGCAGCTAGACAAGTGAAATGCGTTACAACTTATAGGAAGTTTTACGAGATGCGAGTATTACAGCTGCAATGACAGAATGTAAATCCATTCTTGACCACATAGTCGTTTATTCTACGTCATCATAATCATCATCATTACAGCCCTTCACAAGTCCACATAGGCTTTCCCCAAGGAATGCCACAAAACACGGTCCTGTGCCACCTGCATGCATCGCCTTAATTTTTAACGTTACCCCCACACTCGGATTTTCTCCTGTATCGTGGAGGCAGTTTACAAACATAAATTGCACAAGGACAAACATCCAGACCCGGAACAATTATTTGTAGGCCATACAAATACTTGTTCCGTGCGAGATTCGTTTCCGCGGGCCCCAGGTATGCAACTTACTGCGCCACAGAGCCGTCAACTTCTTGCATGTCGTACTATGTTGTCACTCCATATAATGGGAGGATGCTCTACACTTCGCCTACCTACGAGGCTGCCCAAGAACCCTTCTTTCCCATCGGTTGTCGGTTCTACGAGCTGTATAGCCCATTGCCACTTCAGCTTACTAATCATTCTACTTGACGTATTATAAATTACATATTTTTATGAATAAGGCCGTATGATCTCCTTAACCATAATGTGAAATTCGTTTTAGTTTACTTTTAGTACGAATGTCCTTTGGCCCGTTTGGTCAATATTTTTAGCTGACTTAAAAAATTGAAACTTTGACAACGTTTTTAAAGTTCTGTACCGAAATCTGTCTGTCAGCGGGTTGTATCTCATGATCCGTAATAGGTAGACAGTTGAAATTTTATCAGAATGTGTATTTTTAATAAAAATAAAAATAAAATATAAATTATAAGAAACGTGTGTCTTGGTACGGAACCCTTCATGCGCGTGTCCGACTCACACTTGGCCGGTTTTTTCTCTGTTCGACTGTATATTCTTTTTATCTTATATCCTAATCTTGATTAAGATTTCAGTTCGTTACGTTGTTGCCCTTGATAATTCAGATAAAATGACTCGTTACCCCCGAGTTCTCTCCCAGTCGAGGCGACCCATTTGAGCAGCCACAATTAAAAAAATAAAAACATGGTTTTGTTGTGATTGGCCACGTGTTCTAACTGCATCCGCCTTAACACGCCTACGTTTGAGACTTTTTTTTCTTTGGTAATGAACTCGTTCTCTTGTACTTTTGCCAGTGTCAAGTATAATAAGAAATAATCCTTTAAAATATTATTTTAGGAATTTAAGGAGGTTTTATCGGCATATTGAGCCAGCAGACAGTTGACTTTATTATATCAAGGCGCCTAAACAGCACACCTTATCTTGATATTCACATTACCGTCAGAGCACTCGTTTCATCGTTTCCACTATAATGTGCAGATTTCATACACATTCTCACCACTTTTACGTATCAAAATCCACTTCAAACCTTTAATAAAACAATAATACAGCAGCAGCAATTAGCCGCCAGCCAAGTTTCCGTAAAAAAAAACTCAAATCTAATAATTCTTCTCGACCATATTTATTAACTTCTTCACCGCTGCCAAATCGAGTAAGAAGACACGAATCCTCTTCAACGATATCCTTTTACAAACGGCAGTGCATGTACGCCCAGTAAGTAGGTGAAATTTTGGGTTGTGTTGTGTATCTTTGCTTCCATTAACTCCCTTAAATCCGCACCATCTCCCTAAATATATCCTGAATTACAAATGGCAGTGTATGTAAGTAGGTGGGCAGGTCAGTGGCGGTGTGAATCGAAAATGAAATCGAGGAGTACATGAAACGTTGGGTTGTGGTGTATATGAATAACTTTACAAATGGCAGTGCATGTACGCCGGGTAAGGAGGTAACAGAGCGCAGGCCAGCGGTAGTGCGTGCGCGGATAACTCCCGTTCGCCACTCGCCGCCTGAGCTCGTAGCTGCTCGAGTCGCAGTTGGTTTTGTCTCTTCCATTTTGTTCTAAACAGAAAATAAAAAAATAAAAGGTTAATGTCATCGTGTATTATATGTTGGTTAACCAGAGATCAAATACATATTTTATTTAAGGTTATTTAGATCGCCGCATAGGGGGCAAATATGGCAAACGTTTGTCCATATCTGCCACGCCTGGCAGGCGATTGGGAACCACAGTTTTTATATCTTTTAGCTGTCATCAAGAAGGCGTGTTGTTCATCTCCTAGTTTTTTCCCTTTTCGTCACTTATGACACCCGTGGTTTGATATAATACGAGTATGATGGTGGATATAAATATTCTTACACCGTCACTATACGGTAGTTATTGGAACTAAGTTCCTTATCGGACGGTACGATACGAATTTGGCGGATAGGGGCAAGGCGAGAAAAAGTGTAAGATTACAAGCGAGATGGAATAATATCCATCTCGCTTTCTCCTGCCTATTTCCCTTTGTCTCCTTTTACGACACCCACGGGAAGATATGGGGTAGTGGATATTCTTAACCGCCACTACACGGCAAATTTATTTTAATAGACGCTAGTAACTCATTTATTTGTATTTGTTAATCAATAATAAAATACATTTATCAATAATAATATACTACGAAAGGAACTTTGTTCAAACCTAGTGTTCCACTACACTCACGCATGTTTTTATTTATTTTTGTTTTTTAAATTCTGACAACTCCGTAGCTCAGTGACTCAGGTTCGAATCCCTTGGAACAACTATGTATATGCCCTACGAAACTTGCTTTGGCTATGGATGTCTTCTATATTGCAACATAAGTATATGAAACGCCTATACGACACAAGATTGTATATTAGAGCCAGTTGAACCGACAGAACAATAGCGCTGGAGTCATACTGCAGTATGGACTCCTTAAAAAAATATAACCCGACCTCGAATATCCTCGGACGTCTGAATATCTTTGAAGACTTATTTAAAAAAGCTACCCCTCGCGTGTATAATTTCTTTGCCCACGGAGGATAACACACCTCTAAACAAGGCATCATCAGGAGAAATAAACTTTGCGATGGCTAACCATTTTAGCTTCAAACTAGGTACGAGACGCCATTTTGTTTTTCAAGCCGGTCTTAGTTGATTAATTTTGATATATTTAATCAATACAAGCAGTAAATTTGACACTCACCGTCGGTTTTGATACCAAGTCTTCACCTGCGTCTCGCTGAGACTAAGCGCGTCGGCGACGTCTCCACGATCCGCCACGCTAAGGTACTTCTGGCAGCGGAACTTCCTCTCCAGATAAGCGAGCTGCGCGTGTGTGAACGCTGTGCGACGTCTACGCGGCTTGCGACCCGTTGTTGGCGTGGCAGATTTAGGTTGCTGTCGATCTGTGTGATAGCAATAAGTTTGATATAAGATTTTTCTACTACCTCGTTGGTCTATGCCCAAAATGATTGGCAACCTATCATGAGTTCTTAAATTTGGATTAGATCAAAAATTCAGTGTGAAGAAGTTAGCGGTGTTTGAACCCCGTGCATCGGAAATCACGTAAAGCCGTAGGTCGTCTCGGTTTGCAGTCCTATCAGACCGACAGTGAGCAAATAGAGAGTGCACTCGTACTTGGCATATACTCGAGTACTATATTCCCGTCTTACGCAGATGACTTGTCTTCATTGAGATGAGCCGCCGTGACCGAATTTCGGTCTGGAGAACATTATTATGATTTCATTAGGGATAGATCTGCTCCACCGGGGAAGGAGGACGCTATTAAAGAATACCATCGTAAAATAATGCGGCAAAGAAGAAACGCCACAGGGTTTTAGTCAATGCGAGTCCGATATGAACCGTCATTGTCCCCGCAAGGCGATACCCCCTGTGAAAGTACTTCCCTATGTAAAAAAGGAGGATGGTCTCGCAAATTTTGTTGCGACATGCGATGGTGGAATTCGGTAACCGGAACCAATCCAAACAATTTTTATTCACATGGGCGCTCTTCGTGGTTAAAGCGAATTAGAATATACAAAAGGATGCACCATTATTTTACAGCGCTATTAAGTCAAGTCGTTCAGAAAAAACTTGGACGTCGACGATTCGTGTAGCTCTTCGTTGGATGCGGTTGTAGGAACTGGCTCTGTTGTTACCTGGCCATGATATGAAGACAGTATTCCTTGTGAGGCCGAACTTACACCCTATAAAGTTGCAACCGATGTACTGACATGAAATATTGTCCGACTCACGCACGCCAAGCTATTTGGGGGTCAATTTAAAAGTGGCCGCGAAACTGAACATCACTTTTTTTATAGGATAAGGGTGACAAGCGAGCACACATTCCACCTGATGGTAAGTGGTTGCTGTGGCCCATAGACATCTACATCTATCCTCAACTACGAATCAAAGTGCAGATGCGTTGTCAGCCGTGAGGACTAAGATCGAATGTCTCTTTTCCAGTAAAAAGGGTCTCCGGTTCTCTACACTCACCATACGAAACACAGCAGTATTAAGCCGCTATTTCACGCTGGTATTCTGTGAGAGCGTGGTGCTTTCCCGGTCGAGCCGAACAACTATACAATTAATATAGCTGCAGCAGCGTGGGTCTACCACGTTAAAAAACCACTTGATATATTGATGCCGAGAATTCCGGAGCTGGCTGACACAACAAAAGGAGTGCCTAAAAATTGAGAATATACCATAAAGAGATTATGATATTTCAACTGTCTCCCATTCATCCAATACATTAAAAATATAGATAGTACCTACATTATTAGCATTAATCCCAACTTACCCGCGGCCTCCTGTGATTCCCTTTGGGAACTTCCAGCCATCACAGACGCAAACCCAGCTAGCAACTGCGACTGGAATGAACTCTTGGATAGATCCATAGATCTACCGTAGATACCTTCGGACAGACCCCCAGCCATTCCAAAAGTAGACTCCTTTGCCTCATCCTTATTCCCATCTCTTTCTGTTCTGTATAAATGAAAGAGTCCGTTGTCATACAACTTCATAGATTCTTCAGTACGGTCGTATTCATTTTCTTCTTCTTTGAAAGGTGAGTTGTAACTAGAATTTTGTAATCGATTTAAATTATATTCCATTGGTGACGACCTTTCATTGTCTTCAGTATCAATTTTTTTCTGGTAAAAGTCGGGTTCGTTTTCGAAACCAAAACGCCTCTTTCTCGGTGTGGACGCCTCACTTCGATTATCGCCGACGGATATCTCATCATCGATATCGGAATTTTCTATGTTGTGGCTAGTGGATGACTGGCATCTGCTTTCCCGTTCCACTTCGTCATGGGCAATACCTAAACAAAATAATGAAATGTTATTGCATAACCTATAATCAAAGCTTTTACAATTATTGAAATATATCTTTTGTGTGAATGGGGAAGGACTTTTTACATTATCATCATCAACATCATTATCATTATAACCCTTCATAAATCCACTATCGAACAAGGTCTATAACTAAGGAATTCCATAAAATACGATCCTAAGCAACCTGCATCCATCGACTACCTGCAACCCTTAGTATGTCATCACTCCATCTAGTGAAAGGCTGCTCTACACTTCGCTTACTGGTACGAGGCTGCAAACTGTCATTTTTTCGAGCTATATGGCTGACCCATTGCCACTTCAGCTTACTTATCTGCAAGACTATCTCGGTTACTCCGATTCTACTGAGGATATCTTCCGTTATGTTACAGCCTATTAAAGTCCATTGCTGAAACATAGGCCTCTACCATAGATTGCCTCATAGAGTAGATATTTGCAGTAGTTATAATGTTACTGTTGATTTGAAAATTTCATCTCTCAGGGGGCTATGTGCTCCTGGTAGATTATCTTCTATACATCGATCCATTACAGCTTATTAAAGTCCCACTGCTGAACATAGGCCTCCCCCATATATTGATTCATAGAGGAGATATTTGCCGTAGTTGTAATGTTACTGTAGATTTGAAAATTTCACCTCTCAATGGGTCATGTGCTCCTGGTAGATTATCTTCTATACATACATCCATTACAGCCTAGTCCACTGCTGAACATAGGCCTATAGGTGGGATATTTGCTATAGTTGCCACGTTTGGCAAGTAGATTGACAACCGCAGTTTTTTTTTAGACGTTATTAGGAAGACGCATGTCTGATCTGTTTCCTTCTATCGCCTCTTACGACACCGGCGGAATGATATTGTGTGTTATTTTTACGCCGCAACTAAAAAGTACACGCGACGGATATCTTCATTACGAAAGAATTAAACGTGTTCCTTTCCCCTGTTTAGCAAATTCATTTGTACCCTGGCCATAGTATTATGTAACGTGACTCTACCCACAGTAATTTAGTCACCACCATTAATAAAATGCATGATGTAATTTGAATTTGTTTTTAGTAGTGTCTTAAAACTTGTTCCGTTTTCCATATTAATAAAATTAGATTTTCAGTATCTTAAATATACAAATATGATGATTATTTCACAATAAAATTATATTGTGTAATAACGTCATTACACCCTCATCCATCCATCCATTACGGTTTATCAAAGATCTCTGTCTGCACATAGATTACTTTGAAAGAAAAATTGTTGTTTTTTGTGTTTATGGTATTATTAGGAACACGATATTTCCCATCTGCTGGGTTATTTCCCTTTACCGCCTCTTACGACAGCCACGAGACGATATGGGGTCATGGATATTCTTACATCTCCACTACACTATATTTTCATACAATTTTAATAGAAATGTTTGTTTTAACAGTTCACAAAAATAAATTCAATCAAGTGGAGTCGGAACAATGAGGGCTAATAATCTTCCACTCACTAGATGTCGCTAGTTGTGACTGAGATAAAGTTTATTGTTACACAATGTCAGTTAATTGAGAAATTAACGTGGTAGAGCCATGCTGCAGCTATATGAGTAGTATAGTTGTAGCACGAATGGGTCGGCTCGACCGGGGAAGGACCACGCTCTCACAGAATACCAGCGTAAAATAGCAGCTTAACACTGCTGTATTTCGTATGGTGAGTGTAGAGAACCGGAGACCCTTTTTACTGGAAAAGAGGCATTCCATTTTAGTCCTCACGGGTGACAACGCATCTGCATTTTGATTCGCAAACGAGGATAAATGTAGATGTCTATGAGCCACAGCAACTACTTACCATCAGGTGGACTGTGTGCTCGTTTGTCACCCTATCCTATAAAAAAAAATTCGTTTAAAATAATAGTTTATCATTATCTAGAGTATTATATTAATACACATTCCCCGTGTAGTGGCGGGTAAGAATACTCACTACCCCATATCTTCCCGTGGGTGTCGTAAAAGGCGACAGAGAGAAAATGAGGGAGAGGATGGGCAGCAGCATCTTTCTGATAACAGCAAAACAACATTAAAAAAACTGCGGTTGCCAACCCGCTCGCCAAGCGTGGCAACTATGGCAATATACCCCCCATGAAAGTAACAAAGAGACGGCCTCCAGTCCCCGGTGGCCCCGCTATTCCTGGCTACGGTGGCGACCATGGTAACGGCGGGGCAGGAGGTGCTAAGAATCTCCGGTGGAGGTTCGGTTGCCACCTACGACGACTCGACCTGACAACATATAACGCACGCACCCTGAGGACTGACGAGAAGATCCTGGAGCTGGAAGAGAGACAAGTTGCACTGGAATGTCGTAGGATTATACGAAGTCCGAAGAGAGGGGGAGGACGCGGTAATCCTCGAATCCGGCAATTTGTTCTATCACCGGGAGGGCAACCATCTGTCCCAAGGAGGTATCGGATAAATCGTCCTCAAGTCTCTCATTAAGAACGTTGTAAAGATTGGGAGTGTGTCGACGAGGGTATCTTATACTCAGAATCACCAAACGGTATTCGCTGAAGGTTATACAGGTTTACGCACCAACCTCGGCACACCCCAATGAGGAGGTGGAGGAAATGTATGAGGATATCTCTAGACCCATGCATTCCTCCAATACGGTGTTAATGGGAGACTTCAACGCAAAACTAGGCACAAGAGAGAACGGTGAGCTGAAAGTAGGGAATTTCGGAATAGGGCAACGGAACCCAAGGGGCCAGCAGCTGGCCGACTTCATGAAGAAAGAAGGACTCTTTATGATGAACTCTTACTTCCAGAAGCGGCCGCACAGGAAGCGGACCTGGTCGAGCCCCGACGGTTCGACAAAAAAATGGGATTGACTTCATTATGACGACCAGACGACAACTGTTCAGTGATGTCTCAGTGATCGCGAGGATGAAAACCGGCAGCGATCACCGAATGGTGAGAGGCACACTGAACCTAAACATTAAGTTGGAGAGGTCACGCCTAATGAAGTCAACGTCCCGTCCGTGCCCCTCGTGCTCTGTTCCAAAGTCCCGAAACCTTTCAGCTCGAGCTCTACAAAACCGTTTTCAGTGCCTAGAAGATTGCAATGCAGTGGACGATATGAATGACAAGCTCGTGGAAACTGTCCATGCGGTCGGAGCTAAGTTTTGCAAGACCCGCCGCAGAAGAACACAAAAACTCTCCGATCACACTCTTAATCTCATGGCTGTTAGACGGGATATGAAGCTGCAGTCTTCAGTAGATTTGACAGCACACAGGCAACTGAACAGACAGATCTCCAAATGCATGCGGCGGGACTTACGCAACTTTAATACTGCTCGTATTGAAGAAGCGATCGAGCGGAACTAGGGCTCCAAAGTCTTTGCTAGAGATCTGTCTTCCAGAAAGAGCCAACTGTCGAAGCTGAATACCGAGTGTAGCAGCGTCGTTTCCGGGACACCTGAGATTTTGAGTGAGATTGAGAGGTTCTATGGGCAGCTGTACACATCATCGTTGGAGCCACACGTAAGTGTGAGTAACAATCCAAGAATGAGTCTTATCCGACACTATTCCGATGATATCCCGGACGTTAGTCTGAGCGAGATTAGAATGGCTCTCCAGCACCTTAAAAACGGCAAGGCCCCAGGCGAGGATGGAATTACAGCGGAGCTTCTGAAAGCGGGTGGAAAACCGGTACTTGAAGTCCTTCAAAAACTCTTTAATTCCGTCCTCCATGGTGACACTACACCGGAGGCGTGAAGCAGAAGTGCGGTGGTCTTATTCTTCAAGAAAGGTGACAACGCTCTCTTGAAGAACTACAGACCGATTTCCCTTCTGAGCCGCGTCTACGTGCTGTTTTCGAGAGTCATTACGAATCGTCTCGCGCGCAGACTTGACGACTTCCAGCCTCCCGAACAAGCCCGTTTCCGAAAAGGCTTTATCACCATAGACCACATACATACCCTTCGGCAAATTGTACAGAAGTCCGAGGAGTACAATTTGCCACTATGTCCGGCGTATGTGGACTATGAGAAAGCCTTTGATTTCGTCGATTTCCGTTGGGCGGTGCTGCAGTCCCTTCTGCGATGCCAAGTTGACTGTCGGTATATCGAAGTGCTGAAGTGCTTGTACAGTAGAGCTACGATGGCTATCCGAGTACAGAACCAGAGTACGAAACCTATCCAATTGCAGAGAGGTGTAAGACAGGGTGACGTGATATCCCCGAAACTCTTCACCGCTGCATTGGAAGACGTTTTCAAGCTTCTGGACTGGAAAGGATACGGTACTAATTTGCCAATTAAAGCATGCAAAGGTATTAGACCATACCGCCTAGTCGAATTTGGATTTTTACTTCACAAAACTTTTCAAATATGCTGATGTGAGATTGCAAAGTTCTTGGGAGATTTAGTCAACAGCTTGATTTCAGCAGACACTTGATGACAGCAATATCTAAAAAGGTCCCTAAACCAAATTAAAAAAAAAACCTGAGGTTATATCACCATCGAAACACTTGTTATGTCGTTTCTACGCAGACATTTAATACACAAAATCCACTTCAAACCATTAATTTATACGATAAAACAGGAGCAGCAATCCTTCGGCGGTCACGTTCCCGCCAAAACTCATGTTGTTCTATTAGTTCTATTGACAAAACTTAATTTTTTTTATTTAATTAAATTCTACATAAACCGGTAAATAACAACAATTCTAGACGAGAATTGAAACTACCTCTATTTCTTTCAACTATACTTCAATAGGTCTGCTGGAAGAAATTTCATCATGGAATAAACAGAGCCTTTAATTATTTAGCATAAAACTTTAATTATGTGTAATATATAAATTAAATTTTGTTGCATGTATTAAAGTTCGTTGCTTATTTAAAACGTCTGGGTAGAAAAAAATTCGTGCGGAAACATTAAGATCACTTACTTGTCTGACCCTAAAACATATTTATGCAAAAATTATAACGAGAGAAACACTCAAGTGCTGGTG